CTATAATAATACATTTCTACTGCTATTCGTATAATCGCTTAATACGAAACATCGTAATATCAAACCGCTTAAAATACACAAACTTCGTACAACCGCGTAAATATAATTTAATTATTTACAAACTTATTTCATGTCTACATTCGCATTATTTTTAAAACTATACTTATTCAACTCAAATAACGTGTTATTTGTGTAATACGAATAGATATCGATGTTCTATATTGCATAGTAACAAGCCGCACCTGTGTACCTATTATTTACATAGGTAATTTAGTTATTGAGTATAACAGCCCTTCAATTAATTTATAATTAAATAAAGCTATTCGCCATCTTTAAAAATGAGTTCTAAGGTCACCGTTTTAGTTGCTAAAATTAATTGCACTTTTCAACGTATAAATAGGCTGCATGATTGCGCAAAAAAGATAAATATTTCTAGTCCCGAACTTCGTTCTACGGAGGCGTTCATGGCGGATACGGAGACATTGTCAGTAATTCGTGATGAATTTATTGCTAATTTAGATATGATAAATCAATACAAAATTGATGATGATTCTTCGTATGTACCCAACTATTCCCAACTTAATGCGTTTGAAGATATTTACACACGCATTCAGAGAGTTCGTTCTCAGTTAATGCAATCGCAGTCGCAGAGTTCTCGTATGCAAACCCAGAATGTCAGGTCTACTATACCCCTTCCACCTATTGATCTTAAATCATTTGATGGCCGATTGGATTCCTGGCCAAGCTTCTATGAATGTTTTAAAGCTAATATCCACGATAACAAAAGTTTATCTGATTCCCAAAAGATACATTATCTGATAGGTAAATTGTCAGGCCCCGCTTTAAGACTAACGACTGGGATAGTACCAGCCGGAGAAAACTACGCCAGCATTTGGCAAAGTTTAGTTGATAAGTACCAAGACCAACGAGCATTAGGCTCTCATTATATGTCTATTATATTGAATATTAAACCCGCTATTAATAATTCTGTTTCGCTTAATTCCTTTATCGAATCCTTCAACGCCGCAGTGTCAGCCTTAGAACAATTAAAAATTGGTGATCTTAAAGATTTCATATTATTAACGATTGCCTTAAGAAAAATAGATTCTGTAACAGCACACGCATTCGAAATGTCAATTAGAGATAAAGATATTCCTACTTATTCGGAGTTTGTAGATTTTATTAAAAGTCAAGTAAAAATATTAGATCGTACCAGCACCCGTCCTACGGTTTTTCCTATCGTAGCTAGCCCGCGTAATAATACAGTCCACAACTCGAAAGCTTTGCTATCCCACGACAATAATGAATGTTGTTCAATGTGCAATAGTGGTGATCACTTGCAATTATATCAATGTTCCTTTTTCAAATCGCTTCCAACCGAACAACGTTTCGATTTTATTAAAAATAAACGTGCATGTATAAATTGCTTGAGCATGTCACATACTGTATCGCGTTGTAATTCATCGCAGCATTGTAAAATGTGTAATAAACAACATCACACATTATTACATAATAATAATATTGTAAACAATAAATTTAATAATAATCGAAAATCCTCCGCGCCGCCGTCCTGCTCGCACGCATTAGTCACCGCGTCAACCGTCAATTCTGTTGACGTGCCTGCTCTAACCTCATGCAATTGCCCGACGCCGCCGCCACCGCCGGCGGCGGGGGAGGGGGCGAGGGCACAAACCGCTCAAGTCGCGGCACAGCTGACCCCAGCGAGTCAGGTATCATTGTGTGCTCGCGCGCATGTTATTAATAACAACAATACAATATTGCTTAGCACGGCGCAAGTAACTGTCTTAAATTACTATAAACAAAGATCGAATATTAGATGCCTTATTGATAACGCGTCACAAAATCATATAGTGACAACTGCTTGTTGTAAACGGCTTAATTTAAAACCAATTGCACTTAACACGCATTCTACTATTAAAGGTATAGGGTCCGCTTCGCAAACCGTTCGCGGTTGGGTTCCGCTCTGTATTTCTTCGAGAGATAATTTATATACATATACTATTGATGCGCTTGTCGTCGATGTCATAACGGATAACATGCCTTCCGGTTTAGTAGATATGACGATTATTGATAATTTATTAAATATACCGCTTGCTGATCCACTCTGGCATACGCCTGGACAGATTGAGCTTGTAATTGGGGCTCAATTATTCCCATATTTACTATTAGGTGGTAAAATTATTGCACCTCCCGCGCCAGCCGCTCTGGAAACCGTATTTGGATACATTTTAATGGGAGACACACCTTCAGTCGTTGACTCCAATACGAAACCCGCTTCTTCAACATTTCTTGTATATTCCGAACATGATAACGAAAATGATTACTTAGATAAAACATTATGCAAATTCTGGGAACTTGAAGAAATTCCTTCAAATAAATTCATGAGTCCGGAAGAAAAAGAGTGTGAACAGATATACTGTGACACAGTGTCACGTGATTCCTCAGGTAAATATTGTACCGCGCTCCCATTTTCTAGGGATCCAGCTATATTGGGTGATTCCCGTTCTGTAGCTACTCGCCGCTTATTCTCACTGGAACGTAAATTAAAAGATCCAAGTCTTCGTGTCAGTTATAATGAAATCATACAAGATTATCTCCGTAACGATTACCTGTCCGAGGTTCCACCCACCAGTAACGAATACGGTAAAGGGTATTACATACCACATCACCCCGTCATTAGGAACGATAAAACTACCACGAAAGTACGCGTAGTTCTCGACGCAAGCGCTAAATGTCATAATAATATATCCTTAAATGACGTATTACATACGGGACCCAATTTACAGGCAGATATATTCATTCTCTTATTAAATTTTCGCTTATTTCCCATTGCACTAACAGCAGACATTAAACAAATGTATTTAAGAATTGAGGTAAAACAAGAACATAGAAAATATCAAAAAATATTGTACCGTTTTAATTCTACAGAACCCATTCGCGAGTTTCAATTTAATCGAGTCGCATTCGGTCTCAGATGCAGCCCGTTCCTAGCCATGCGTACTGTAAGGCAGTTGGCGGAGGACGAGAAGGAGTGTATCCGCGAGCAGCAGTTATAGCTACTCATGAACTGTATACTGATGATTTAGCTACCTCCGTTCCGACGCTCGAGGAGGGGGTGGCGTTGTCACGTGAACTCATTGACTTATTTAAAAAAGGGGTTTCCATCTTACTAAATGGGCTAGTAACTCTGTAGAACTACTATCTACGGTACCTGAATGTAAACGCGCCGCTATTAATTTTGTAAATGATGATAATTTAAAAATACTCGGGTTAAAATGGCTTCCCTTAGAAGACGAATTTACTTTTTCAACATGTCCCTTGGACAACAAATGTACTAAACGTACTATCCTTTCCGCTATTGCTCGCTTATGGGACGTTCTGGGATTCGCAGCGCCCGTTATCCTTTTTGCTAAACTTTTAATAAAGGACCTGTGGGTCCAACGGATTGGATGGGATGACTCACCACCAATAGACATACAAAACCATTTTCTTAATTTTAAACAGCAATTACCTCATCTCTCTTCTTTAAAAATTCCTAGACATGTAAAGGTAGAAAATGGTTGTAGTACTAATATAGTCGCTTTCGCGGACGCCAGTATGAAGGCGTACGGTTGCGTAGTATACCTACACGTCACAGATGCTGCAGGCATTGTGCACGTTGCTTTAGTATGCGCTAAATCTAAAGTTGCGCCCATCAAAATTGTAACTCTTGCTAGGCTGGAATTATGTGCCGCTGTATTAATGTCAAAATTGGTAAAATTAGTGTCAGAAACGTATCGTACCCGCATTAATATTAATAATACATATGCATTTTCCGATTCAAAAATAGCACTTTCGTGGATTAATTCATCACCACACAGATGGAACATTTTTGTAAGTAACCGCATCGCTAAATGTCAAGAAAATCTAGACCCTTGTCATTTCTATTACGTAAATACGACAGAGAATCCTAGTGATTGCCTGTCTAGAGGTTTATTACCTGATCAGTTGATATGTCACTCATTATGGTGGCATGGCCCTGCTTGGTTACAGCGACCCGTCGCCGAATGGCCAGTATCACCATTCAAATCTGTAGCATGTGAACAGTTACCTGAAATAAAAAATAAAACACTTACCTGTACGACGTCTACTCCCGCTTCTATAATATACCAAATGGCGCTGAAGTTCTCTTCCTGGAATAAAATATTACGTATTATTTCGTATATTCTTAAATTTGTAAAATTAATACCAAGTAGCCCCCGCGTCATGTCTTCCCATATTAATGTATCAGAAATGTATCTTATTCGTGAAGTGCAAAAGTTATATTTTCAATCGCTTTTTTATGATTTAAAGAAAAACAATTTACCTTCTTCTCAATTTCGTAAACTGGATCCATTTATTGATGATAATGGACTTATAAGAGTAGGAGGAAGATTATCTAATAGTAACTTACCCTTTGAAGCTCAGCATCCTGCATTGTTACCTAAACACGATCATATTACTCATTTGATTATAGATTATTATCACCACGTGCACTGTCACACTGGTGCGTCATTATTAACTTCATTGTTACGCCAAAAATATTGGATTTTATCAGCTAGAAGTGTAATTAAACAAAGAGTTCACTCTTGTAACAAATGCTTTAAAGCTTCTCCATCTAGTAAGGCGCCAAAAATGGCAGATTTACCTTCGTACCGCGTGCGTGAAACGAAAGCTTTTGTGCATACCGGTGTGGATTACGCTGGACCTATAAGTATAACTCTATGTAGGCGTCGCGGCCAAAGATCTCAAAAGGCATACATTTGTTTATTCATTTGTCTAGTAACAAAGGCTGTACACATTGAGTTAGCCACAGACCTATCGTCCGATATCTTTATTTCTGCTTTTAAACGCTTCATATCTCGACGCGGACCTGTTTCATATCTTTATTCCGATAATGGAACAAATTTTGTTGGAGCAAAGGCTCAACTTCAAACTTTAGTACTTAGCCATCGTATCGAATGGCATATGATCCCTCCCACGCACCTCACTTTGGAGGTGCGTGGGAATCAAATATCAAAAATATAAAGAATCATCTATTTCGTACTATCGGTTCTCAATTACTCACGTACGAAGAACTATTAACAGTATTAACGCAAATTGAGACAATTTTAAATTCAAGGCCTCTTTGTGTACTCACTGAGGAGCCATTTCCAGAACCACTAACTCCTGCGCATTTCATTATGGCATCTCCTCTTTCGTACTTGCCAATTGAACGCGTATCCGAAGATACTCGAAGTATTAGACAACGTAAACAGCTACTTGATCACATGGTTAGAAGCTATTGGAAAAGGTGGCGTTTAGAATATCTTAATAATTTACAAGTGCGACAGAAGTGGCTTGTTAATAATGAGAATGTAAAACCCGGTACTGTAGTATTAGTGCATCAAGATGATGTACCTCCGTTACGTTGGCCCTTGGGCGTTATTACTGAAACATATCCTGGATCAGACGGCAAAGTACGTGTCGCGCTAGTAAAAACATGTAGTGGTTCGTACAAACGCCCCGTTGTAAAACTTTGTTCTTTACCGTCTCAATAACCCAACTTAACAAAAATTCCATAGTTAATAAATAACATATAAATATTAGTATAGTATCATTTAATTTCATTCCGTTATTTCTCTAACTCTTATTGAAAATACTACGTATTCTCAAGGCCGGGAGAATGTTCGCGCGTCTTCTAAATCCATAAAAAAAAAAAAAAAATAATAATAATAGGTTGGTAAGCCGCCACACTGCTTTTTCCCGCCCCCCTTTCCCCGGCCCAATATGGACAATTCATTATTCGCCGCCATCTAACAAGTGAAACAACCACCGCATGCAACAATTTTAATTAATCAAGGAGCTCCTTAAATATTATAACAAACTGTATTTGTGTCGCGAGTGTGGTGTATTGTAATGAAAACTTCAAGTGCTTCAAGTCGCCGACGCAGATCATCAATATTATAATTTGTGCAATTTGGGTGAGTTCCTTAATTCCCTTTTCCTACGATCACTGCAGTGTGGCTAAAAAATACATCAAATAGGATAGCTTACATCTCAATTAATATTCGCAATATTATTTTATTCAAGAACCTTAGCCACATCAACACGTATAAAGTAATATTGTATTAATTGAAATCGTTGCTAAGAATTTATATGATTATTTCACTAGAATCATGTTAAATTAAGAGAGCATGTCTAACTTCAATAATTTATTAATGTATCTTCTAATTTCAAATTGGTTTACTTACGTAATATTTATCAAAGGTTAGATCAGATAGAATTTCTGATCACAGTAAGCAAAATTTTATGACAGCTTATCTTATTAAAAACTTTCGGTGACTCGCAAAAATTGGCGAAATATGCTAAGTTTTATCTTGTTCCAAATTTTATGTGCCGTTTGAAATTAGGTAACTATATTAAGTCAACTTATACTTTTAAAACACTGTGTTATTTTTTAGGATAAGTTATATCTATAGATAAAAGTAGTCTAAAAATGTTTTTTATTTGTAAATAAGTTATAATTTGTTAGTTTATACACGATAGCGCAATACTCGTAAATTCATTATGGTAATCTTATATATTAAACTGTAGTTCATTTACTGCCAGTTTGTATAGGATGTATTATTATTATTATTTATTAAATTTTCTTGCCGTTTCATAATTGAATCCGCATAATATATGTACATTGACTTGGTATGTAGTCCCAGTTAGCTCTTACAATCTCCTGAGGTTAATAAGGACATGTTAATTAAAAATAGATATATCACTCATACGTTTTTTTTACTAGTCTACAACACAGAAATGGGATATATGATAAATAATACATATATTTTATTTACACATCTCTTATAAGATTTGTGAATTAAAAACCTATTAAATAATGTAATATTAAAGTTGGAAATGAAAACAATATTTCATTCATCATCTTTATTCATTAATTTTCATTAACTCATGCGAAACCGTTGCGTTCGTTATCATTCATGAGAATACATTCAATGAAAAGGTCTTTTATATTATTATTACCATTCTAATGTAATGAGGTTTATAATGAAGCATTCCATACATAAATGTATGTAGGCGAATTCCGACCTATCTATTTCCACTTTCCTTATTCATTACAGAGGTCGCGTGATTATTACCCCTCTACTGATATCTGGCATATACATATATACAAAGAGCCATTGTTCGGTATTATACGTAAAAATTATATATAACAAAGAAAACGCCAATACGCCAATGTTTCCCAATTTGTCTTTTTCATTGTTCGAATCTGACGGCCAATTTGTAACAGAAGTTAAATCGTATATGCCTTTAATCTTAGTAGGTACCTATACTAATATTATAAATGCGAAAGTATGTGTGTCTGTCTATATGTGTTTGTAAAGACTGAATGGACTCTAATGGAATTTGACATAGAGGACATAGTCTATGTTCTATTTAAAAAATAATCTCACAGGAGAAGGACGAAGCTTTATGCAGACAATGTTGCGGGTAAGAACTAGTGTATGGGATACGTATTCAGTGTCATAGTAATTCGCGCCGAGTCATTATTATAGGCATATCTAAATACAAGCTGATCGAAAATTAATAAGCTGTCGGTTATCAGCAAATTGAATGACCTCGATGGTCTTTTGTGTTCTTAGCAATGCTATTTATTATACTAAGAATAAAGTCGGAATGTCGGTATATTATTAATAACCCAGGATAATTCACACAGCGCCATCTAGTCAGTCCGTCAGTCCCAAGTTATGTAGAGTTTGTATTTTATTATAAGTACTAGATAACTGATGGAAATACTTTAATACATTTTTCAAGTTCATACATAATCTATATAGGGAACTTGCAGACCAAAACAAACAATGATATTTATGATACAAATATTTTTACAATACGAGCAATCGAACCCAATCATCGGAAGTAAACTAGTGTGTTAAAGCCCTAGATAATGGATGCTATTTGTCATTAATTCGCCGGTCCTTATTTAACACTAGATATGTACAATCATATAAATAGGCGTCCAGACTTTAGGAATAGCTTATTATTTTAAATAATTACTAAATTGAATTCATTATTTTATCGCCTAGTTTCAAATAAGGATCTATTTTTATATAATTGAATGGCAAAATATGCCCATTATTCAAATACCACATTAATGTTGCCGATCTTAAACGGTTTATCGGTTATCTTTGTAAAGCACTAGCATCATATTACAATCGCGGTATATAATATAAAATGATACCGGTAAATACCGGATTCGACCTCGCAGAGTCGAATAGTTGCTTTAAAATTTCGTTCTAGCATTTCGTTCATAATACTAAAAAGTATATAATCTAAGACGGATACTTCGAAATTCAGTCTCACTTGTAAAATGCGTTCACTTTTAATAAACAAATTAATTTGTAATTAAGTAAAATAGTTAATTAATTAAATAAACAGTTCTACCTGTACTTTTAAAATAAAAAAGAGAATATAGGTATAGTGCCTTACACAAGATTATCCTGTATATTACACGCGTTCTAAACAAATGACTATTGTTGAACAGTAATTAATCATACATGCCGTGCGTACGTTTCTTAGCCACAAGGAGGCTGTCAATAACTCTGTTTATTTACTTGCTCTATAATAAGATTTATATAATTACTTTGTTAATTGTAAATTATTTTACTTCAACAGTATAAAATAAAACACGATTTTATACATTTTGATTTACGATAGATTTCGAAACTGTAATAAATATTATCATAGAAAGTATGTAGAAAATATATATTAGTGTATTGGATAATTGATAATATTTATAATAATTGGTATATGATAATATTACTGAAAGTTTTAATGGGTAATTAGATGTACTATTTGTAAAGATGCTACTAGATAATTGTAATACTAGGCGATGATATATTTGCTTGGATTGCTTTGTTCAACAGTACATTTAGTGTTTGCTACATCCATAACACAAATCTAATATACATTTCAGAGAGCATAACTCAGTAACCCAATATTTCGTATAATGTGCAAGTTAAAAGGTCATTTATCATCCATTCGTCGGTCCTTATTTAAGACTACATATAGTCATATGAACGTATTTAACAAAGGGTTTTAATAAACAAACGAAACAGGATATTTTGAACTAGTCGAAATCTCGCGAGAACTGTCTCTCACCGGTCTATACATCACTGCTTTAGTTATCTGAGCGTCTGACATTGATTGATGGACGCCCTAAACAACCACCCCTGAACACGTTCGCTTGGAACAACTCGCAGATATTTGCTAAATTAACATCTTTTTGTTTCAAAATCAATCAGGTTAACGTTAATTAGGAATATAATAATATACGTATTAATAATACAAGAACAGGAATCAAATGTATAAATAAATATAATTCCAACTAGTCACGCACCAGTGTTTTCGATAAAGGCCTACGAATTTAGTAATATCTGTATTGCGAATTAATTGTATACCCACCACATATTCCGACTTAGACTGTCAATAATATATTATGATTATGTTATTTCTTCTACATACTAATGAGCAATTGGTTCTTTTTATATTATGTATTATATACAGTAACAGAGATCCAGTCGACATTCCTAATGTGAACGTAAATGTCGCACATAATACACCATAACATATGTATGTGGGATTATCGCGAGTGAGACTTGAAGAAAAGTCTTATAATATTTAATTATTTATTAACGTCTTAAAATTGTCTTTACATCGTCTTACGTCGTTCTGTCAACTCTCTCAATTCTTTTTTTAAAAATAAAACTATAATAAAAATAAAATGCATAAATCCACCTTCCACATGTATGTATATACATATATCACAATTTGTCACACGTGACCTTAAAATCACCACAGTCCATTAATTTAAAATGGCTATAAGAAGTAACGATATGTTATACAACAATAATAGTACCTATAGTCTTCAAAAGCGCGTTTTTCTAAAAGTACCTTGTGCAATCAAACTAAAGCGAAATTAAAACCTGATAAGAAAAACATATTCTTTCGCCGGTAATTCATCTACAGAGTTGTAAGTCTAAAGCTAGCAAGCTCTAAGAGAAATGTTTTTAAAAATATACTTTATGTTATTAGAATGGTAAGTCGTAACCGTCGTCGTCTATGTACCTACAATAAAAAGTACTACGGACATTACATTACGTTGTATGTGATAGGATACTCTTGCTATTTCGGAGGACTGAGATGTCATGTCTAATAATTCAGTATTTTCACACCTTTCAATTAAACTGAGGCATTGAAACCATGCGGATGCATTTTGACTTTATATTATATATGGACCTCTATTTAGTATGAGAACATCCTGAGCCGCTGATTGAGTATAATCAAGCCCACATAAAATAATAACTTTGTACGTCAATTTATATTTCTGACTGAATCTCTATTCCCCCCTTACTTCCCCCTGGGATAATAGTCATAACTATGTACACATATTGTTTATTTTATATTTAACTTAATTGTATTAACTTACTACATCATGGCAGCTGTGTTCAACTGTTCATATATATTTTATAGCTAACTTTAAAGCGAGGTCATTGGA